CTGACACACCTCTCAGTGTATATACACTGACACACCTCACAGTGTATATACACTGACACACCTCTCAGTGTATATACACTGACACACCTCTCAGTGTATATACACTGACACACCTCTCAGTGTATATACACTGACACACCTCTCAGTGTATATACACTGACACACCTCTCAGTGTATATACACTGACACACCTCTCAGTGTATATACACTGACACACCTCTCAGTGTATATACACTGACACACCTCACAGTGTATATACACTGACACACCTCTCAGTGTATATACACTGACACACCTCTCAGTGTATATACACTGACACACCTCTCAGTGTATATACACTGACACACCTCTCAGTGTATATACACTGACACACCTCTCAGTGTATATACACTGACACACCTCTCAGTGTATATACACTGACACACCTCTCAGTGTATATACACTGACACACCTCAGTGTATATACACTGACACACCTCTCAGTGTATATACACTGGCACACCTCAGTGTATATACACTGACACACCTCTCAGTGTATATACACTGACACACCTCTCAGTGTATATACACTGACACACCTCTCAGTGTATATACACTGACACACCTCTCAGTGTATATACACTGACACACCTCTCAGTGTATATACACTGACACACCTGTGTATATACACTGACACCTCTCAGTGTATATACACTGACACACCTCTCAGTATATACACTGACACACCTCTCAGTGTATATACACTGACACACCTCTCAGTATATACACTGACACACCTCTCAATGTATATACACTGACATACCTCTCAGTGTATATACACTGACACACCTCTCAGTGTATACACATTGACACACCCCTCAGTGTATATACACTGACACACCTCAGTGCATATACACTGACACACCTCTCAGTGTATATACACTGACACACCTCTCAGTGTATATACACTGACACACCTCTCAGTGTATATACACACACCTCACAGTGTATATACACTGACACACCTCTCAGTGTACATACACTGACACACCTCACAGTGTATATACACTGACACCTCTCAGTGCATATACACTGACACACCTCTCAGTGTATATACACTGACACACCTCTCAGTGTATATACACTGACACACCTCTCAGTGTAAATACACTGACACACCTCTCAGTGTATATACACTGACACACCTCTCAGTGTATATACACTGACACACCTCTCAGTGTATATACACTGACACACTTCACAGTGTATATACACTGACACACCTCTCAGTGTATATACACTGACACACCTCTCAGTGTATATACACTGACACACTTCACAGTGTATATACACTGACACACCTCTCAGTGTATATACACTGACACACCTCTCAGTGTATATACACTGACACACTTCACAGTGTATATACACTGACACACCTCTCAGTGTATATACACTGACACACTTCACAGTGTATATACACTGACACACCTCTCAGTGTATATACACTGACACACTTCACAGTGTATATACACTGACACACCTCACAGTGTATATACACTGACACACCTCACAGTGTATATACACTGACACACTTCACAGTGTATATACACTGACACACCTCACAGTGTATATACACTGACACACTTCACAGTGTATATACACTGACACACCTCTCAGTGTATATACACTGACACACCTTGACCTTTACCTTTGAAGAATTTCGAGAGTATATCTACTCTCTGAGCCCGGCCATGGGCCAGGCTCGTCTGGTGCTCGCCTGGTCAACCAGGTTGTTGCTGTTGGAGGTTCGTTGTCCCACATATCCATAACAGTCTGGTTGATCTGGCACCTGGTGGAGATACTTGTCTAGTTTCCTCTTGAAGACTTCTACACTTGTTCCAGCAGTGTTTCTGATATCTTCTGGTAAGATGTTGAATAATCTGGGACCACGAATGTTGATACAGTGTTCCCTTATTGTCCCCACCGCACCCCTGCTCCTCGCTGGGTTTATTTTACACTTCCTCCCATATCTCTCATTCCAGTATGTTGTTATGGCAGTGTGCAGATTTTGGACCAAGCCCTCGAGTACCTTCCAGGTATATATTATCATGTACCTCTCTCTCCTCCGCTCCAATGAGTACATGTTCAAGACTTGCAGGCGTTCCCAGTAGTTTAGGTGAGCCATAAACGATCTCTATATTTGTTCCAGCTCAGATATTTCTCCTGCCCTGAACGGGGCCGTCAGCACTGAGCAATATACTAAGTGAGGGAGCACTAGCAATTTGAAGAGTGTCACCATCGGCATTATTTCCCTTGTTTTGAAAGTTCTCAATACCCACCCAGTCATCTTCCTGGCTGTCGTGATCTTTGTCTTATTTTGGTCTTTAAAAGGAAAGTCCGGTGACATAATTATTCCTAGGTCTTTTACGTGTTCCTTACGTTCTATTTGGTGACCCTCTTGAGTTTTGTATATAGTGTTCCTTTTGAGTTCTTCATTCTTTCCATACCTAAGCAGCTGGAACTTGTCACCATTGAACGTCATGTCGTTTTCCACTGCCCACTGGAAAACTCTGTTTATGTCTTCCTGTACTTTTGCAGTGTTCTCTACCGTACTGACTTTCATGCTTATTTTAGTGTCATCTGCAAATGATGATACAAAACTGTGCCGGGTGTTTTTGTCTGTCTGCTATGAGGATGAGGAACAGCAGAGGTGCCAGGACAGTGCCTTGGGGAACTTAGCGTTTACCTCGCTGATGCTGCATCTTGCCATGTTCACTACTACTTTTTGTGTTCTGTGTGTTAGGAAACCGAAAATCCATCTGCCTACCTTCCCCGTAATGCCCATGGCCTTCATTTTGTGCGCTATCACTCCATGATCGCATTTGTCAAACGCCTTTGCAAAATCTGTGTAAATCACATCTGTGTTTTGGTCGTCTTCCAGTGCCTCCGTAATTCTGTCATAATGGTTCAGCAGCTGTGACAGACATGATCGTCTTGCTCTAAAACCATGCTAAGTCAGGTTATGTTGGTTGTGCTGCTCCATGAAATTTGTAACCTGCTGTCTCATCACTCTTTCGAAGATTTTTATGATGTGAGAAGTTAGGGCTACTGGTCTGTAATTTTTAGCTAGTGCTCTACTACCTCCCTTATCTAAAGGAGCTATGTCTGCACTCTTTAAGGCCTCCGGTATTTCACTTAGATCTAAGCTTTTTCTCCAAAGAATACTGAGGGCTCGTGCTAGTGGTACTTTGCACTTCTTTATAAATAGAGCATTCCATGAATCTGGTCCAGGTGCTGAGTGAGTGGGCAGGTTTTCCATTTCTTTTTCGAAATCTATGGGATTTGTACTAATGTCAGTTAGTTGGTCTGTGCGGCCTTCTTCTGGAGTGAAAAATATTTCAGCATTTTCTACCTTGCTGTCATTTAGTGGGTTGTGAACACCGACTCATACTGTTCTTTTAGGATTTAACTTATTTCCTGTTCGTCGTCAGTACATGAGTCTCCTCTCAGTAGTGGTCCAATTCTACAGGTAGTTCTTAGCTTGGGATTTTGCGTAGTAATAGAAATATTTTGGGTTTCTTGCAATGTCCTGTATGACCCTTTGTTCCCTTTGTACTTCTTCTGTGAGGTATGACATCCTAAGTATATATACATTGACACACCTCTCAGTGTATATACACTGACACACCTCTCAGTGTATATAAACTGACACACCTCACAGTGTATATACACTAACACCTCTCAGTATATATACACTGACACCTGTCAGTGTATATACACTGACGCACCTCAGTGTATATACACTGGCACACCTCTCTGTATATACACTGACACACACCTCTCAATGTATATACACTGACACACCTCACAGTGTATATTCAGTAAGATATACGTATACATAGATATATACATCCTAGGATATACATACACAAGATATATACACCTCTTAGTGTATATACACTGAGATACACATCTCAGTATATTTACACTGACATACTTCTTGGTGCACATAACCTGACACAGTAATAAAGAGGAAAAATAAGTGGGGCCAAGAGCTAGAGTTCTGTATACATAAATCATTATTATTAACGGGGAGCAGTAAACCTGTAACGGTCATACAATCCTTACGGAAGGGTGAGTAAGGGGTGAGGAAGCTACAACTCCTTGGATCAAAAGCCCTTCAGCAGCGTCGTTTCATCTGTTTCCCTTGAAGAGGCAGCTGGCTGCTGAAAGGTCAGAGTTGATGTGTTATTGTTTTTTTTTGTTGGTTTAATAAAACACACAGGTTGCAGAGCTTCTACTGGCGGCAGCGTTTCGCCCACTATGTTAATAAAACACAAGATGTTTCGTCCACACACACACACACACACACACCACACAGGGGACAGGGACAGAGTGGATCTAGTAGCGACTACAGAAGATGCGGGGCCAGGAGCTATGAATCGACCCCTGCAACCACAAACAGGTGAATACACACATTTAGTGATGCACTAATAACTAGGACGCAAAACACACAGTTAGTATAAACTTTTATGTGAGCTAATAACGAGTGTTGACAAGTCACACATAAGAGTGACTGGATGATCAACCCGTCTTTAATAACACAATGTTTCGCTCAAAGAATTATCATGTCATGATAAAAACTCTAGAGGAAACAGTCTGCGTTACTCTACCTTGTTTGTCAGCACTCACTATCCAACCATTGCTTTATTTAGCGTTAATATCTCACTAACTAGCTAACAACAATGTTTCACGAAATCGTAATAACACGACTGCAAACAAAACATACCACGGGAGGGGCTAGAACTCCAGACAGACGCGCTAGTTACTCTCTGATCGCGGGTTCTATCCCCGCCCGTGGTATGGTTTAACAACAATGTTAGTGTAGGTAGGTAAGCTTTGTCAGGAAACAGAACAAGTGTTTCCTGAGTGAAGAGGTTATCATCAAGCAGTGAGAACTGATGTGAGGCTGGGTCATCAGGTTGTTGGTGGGTGACTGGTGTACAGGAGGACGAGTACCTTGGTAGCAGGTCATCAGGTTGCTGGTAGTGGGAGAGTCGTCAATGAGGTCAATCTCGTCCCACACATCCTTCAGTTCTGCTGTGACCTCCGCCCTAGAGCGTCCCCGAGACTCATTCCCTCACTCGAAGACGTCCAGTCGCTCTCGCTGGACGCCCTGCGGCACTCTGAGACATTTCCCAGGTGTGGCACTCTGCTAGGCACCAGGGAGCTGCGCCATGGCACTGTAGGAACTTCATATACCTCTAGATCTTCGAAGGGAACCAATATGGTAAAGTCTGGTGCTTTCACATCTGGGTCTCCCAGAGGCACTAATGCCCCGTCCACTGGTTCCTGGGGAGCATGGCACCTATTTTCAGAAAGTGACTTGACACTGAGGTCAGTGGTTGGCACCCAGGATAAGGCTAGTGTCTCTCTCTTGAGCTCTGGTGTTTCAGAATCACAGTGCCTACAAGAACACTCTGCACTCTCCTGGTTCCCACCAGCGAGCTCTCCGCCACAGGAAGCATCGAAGTATTCTTCGTCCTTCTCGAAGTTATCAAAGAGTTCATCTTGTGGAAGCTGGGAGACCCTGAAGGTGTGATGTCCCCCACTGCCGTGTGAGGGTGCTGCCTGCTGGGTGCCAAGGGGTGTGAAGCCGTCGAGACGGGTGGGCGAGGGCCCCTGGGTACCTAGGGGCGTAGGGCCTTCAGGGCGGGCAGACGAAGATGGGTACAGATCTGCGAAGTCGGTGTTGCCTGGAGAGGAGAGCCTCCTGCGGTATATGCCTGGGGTGCCCAGTAGGTGGGAACACATGTCAGACTCTGCAGGACGGCCCCCCCAGAGTGCCACACTCACTCGCTGCTTGTCGCGACGCCTGGTCCAAGGCCCCAGCGTCCACGCCTTCACCGCCTCCAGCAGCGACATGGTCGTATTGAGCCGAACTATAAGAAATCCGCCGCCAAGAACCACCCTTCTTCACGTGGCGCTGATGCTATTGCTGCTGTTCTGGCTAATGTTGCTTATAGTGATGTCGACACCGTTAGAGGTGTTGTTGCTATTTCTGTTGCTGATGATGGTGCTACTACCACTTTTAGGGGTAGTCTTGTTACTGTTCCTGAGGGCGATGGTGCTGCTGTTACTGTTCTTGTTGGTGGTAGTGCGCCTGGTGATTCTAGTGGTGGTGCTGCCCATGGCCAGTTCACCGCCAGGGGTCACCAGCCATGAGCAGCGGTGCACGACACTGTCAGAGAGGCAATGTGCCAATCTCACCACAGGCACCATCGTCAAGGGTATAACCCCCTAACACGTCTCCCAGGAGCCTAACACGTCTCCCAGGAGCCTCGCACGTCTCCCAGGGCCCTCACACGCCTCCCAGGAACGTCACACGTCTCCCAGGAGCCTCACACGTCTCCCAGGAGCTTAACACGTCTTCAAGGGTCCTCACACGTCTCCCAGGACTCCTCACACGTCTATCAGAGAGTCTTTGCACTCTCCGAAGGCCCTTAAAACATCTCCCAGGACCCCTCACATATCTTCCAGGGCTCACATGACACTACAACTTTACATCACTCTCTGCTGTTAACATCTATGTCACAATACATTGTTAACACAGGAGAGTTACCCCCACCTGAGGAGAGTCAAAATTATTACACACGTACCCAGGTAATATTACACACCTGCAACATCACATACCTGCACACGTGAAGCCAATATTGCACAAGTGCAGTCAATATCCTATTAAACTGTAATCACAATCGATTTTATATCCAGTCAGATGTTGTTCACAACAGTTAATATCACAGACACTGACCAAAAGCAAATTTGTTACTTTATATCCAGTTAGCTGAAGTTCCCTACACAGTTAATACCGAGATAAATGGTATAAAATACCGACACGATGGAAAACAATAGACACAAATGAAGTGTAATGCGATCCCTTACTGACTACATCGTTAGCCTACATACTAACAAACCTACTGGCCCATGCCAGGCAGGTCCCTCTCAAATCCAACCTCTTTTTCAGCAATCAACTTCAACATTCCTCACCTGATGCTTCACGTCACTTGCACACTATAAATAGTCAGGTACTCTCTGCTCAGGTAGATCTGTTTGTGACTTGGTAATGTAAACACAGAACTGTAACCAAACAAAGAGATGTGTGAGCAAAGGACAGTGTAAGGAAACATAGGGATGTGTAAGCAGAGGACTACAACCAAACACAGGGATGGGTGAACACAGGACTACAACTAAACACAGGGATGTATGAACACAGGACTACAACTAAACACAGGGATAGGTGAACACAGGACTACAACTAAACACAGGGATGGGTGAACACAGGACTACAACTAAACACAGGGATGTATGAACACAGGACTACAACTAAACACAGGGATGTATGAACACAGGACTACAACTAAACACAGGAGTCACGTGACCACGCTAGCTAACAACACAGGAGCCCACGTGACACACCTAGCTGCACAACACAGGAGTCACGTGACCAACACCTAGTCTAACAACACAGGAGTCAACTGACCACCTAGCTAACAACACAGGAGTCAAGTGACCACACTAGCTAAAAACACAGAGTCACGGACCCACTAGCTAACAACACAGGAGTCACGTGACCACCTAGCTAACCAACCAGGAGTCACGTGACCCACCTAGCTGACATACACCAGGAGGCACTGACCACCTCTCTCACAACACAGAGTCAACAGTGACCACACTAGCTAACCAACACAGAGTCACGTGACCACTAGCTTAACATCAACAGGCATCACGTACCCCCAGCTAACACAGGAGTCACGTGACCACATCGTGCCTACCCTGTCGTCACATTGCACTTCAGGATCACTGTTCACTCCACCTGCAACTATATATCATCTCATGTTAACGCTGTGTAGGTTACAAGTGATCAAGGTCCCCCAAACTTATAGTTACAAGTGATCAAGGGTCCCACACTTGTGTATGTCACAAGTGATCAAGGGCCCACACTTGTATAAGTTACAAGTGATGCAAGTCCCACACTTGTATGTGTACAAGTGATCAAGGGCACCACACTTGTAATGTATACCAAGTGAACAAGGCCCACACTTGTAGCTTACAAGTGATCATGGTCCCACAACTTGTGTATTACAAGTGATCAAGGGCCTACAACTTGTGTATGTTACAAGTGCACTCAAGGTCCCCGACACCTTTTTAATGTTACAAGTGATGCAACGGGTCCCACACTGAATGTTACAAAAGTGACAAGGTCCCTCACTTTGTATGTTACAAGTGATCAAGGGCCCCCACTTGTAGTTACAAGTGCATCAAGGCGCCCACACATGTATGTTTACAAGTGATCAAGGGCCCACACTGTGAATGTAACAAGTGATCAAAGGTCCCCACACTTGAGTATGTACAATGTATCAAGATTCCCACCCGCTTGAGTATAGGAAACACGTGAATCAAGGTCCGCCCATTGTGTATGATACAAGTGAGCAAGGTCCCACACTTGTAATGTTACAAGTGACAACGGCCCCACACTTGTAATGTTACAAAGTGATTCAAGGGCCCACACTTGTATGTTACAAGTGATCAAGGGCCCACACTTATGTATGTTACAAGTGATCAAGGGCCCACACTGTGTATGTACAGTGATCTAGGTCCCACACTTGTATGTATACAAGCGATCAAGTCCCACAAACCTGTGTATGTTACAAGTGATCAAGGTCCTCGGCACATTGTGCTATGTTAACAAGTGTCACGGTCCCACACTCTGTGTCTGTTACAAGTGATCAATGGTCCCACACTTGTGTATGTTATCCAGTAATGCAAGGTCCCACACTTGTGTATGTTTACAAAGATCATAGGTCCCACACTTGTTTATGATGCAAGTGATCAAGGCCCACACATGTGTATGTTACAGGGGATCAAGTCCCCACATTGTGATCGTTACAGTGATCAAGGTCACTCATCACTTGTGTAATGTTACAATCTGATCAAGGTCCACACACTGTGTATGTTACAAATATCAAGGCCCACCATGCTGAATGTTACAAGTTTCAAGGGCCGCACACTTGTATGTTACAAGTGAATCAAGGGCCCACACTTGTGTATGTTTTATTTTAACAAGTGATCAGAGGATCCCACACTTGAGTATGGTTACAAGGGACTCAAGGTCCCACACTTTTGTGTATGTGTACAAGTGATCAAGTTCCCCACAACTTGTATGTTACAAGTGATACAAGGGCCCACACGGTGTGTATGTTACAAGGTGATCAAGGGTTCCACACTTGTTATGCTACAAAGACAATTCCCACACTTGTTATGCTACAAGTGATCAATGGTCCCAACACTTGTGTAATGTTACAAGTGATCAAGCGTCCCACACTGGTATGTTAACAAGTGATCGTTCCTCACCTTGTGTATTTACAAGTGATCAAGGCCCACACTTGAGTATGTTACAAGTGATCAAGGTCCGCACACTTGTGTATGTACAAGTGATCAAGAGTCCGCCAACTGTGGTATGTACAAGTGATTACAAGGACCCACATCTTGTGTATGTTTACATCAAGGTCCCCACATCTTGTATGTTACAAGTGATCCAAGGTCCCACCTTCTTGTTAAGTTTACAAGTGATCACAGGTCCAACAACTTTGTATGTTTACAAGTGATCAAGGTTCCCCAACACACTTGTGTATGTTACAAGTGATCAAGGTCCCACCACGTGTGTATGGCTTACAAAAGTATCAGGTCCCACACTTGAGTAATGGTACAGAGTTGATCAAGTCCCCGCACTTGTGTAATGTTTAACAAGGGATCAAGGACCACACTGTGTATGTTTCAAGTGCGCGAAGGTCCCACACATGTGTAATGTTACAAGTGATCAAGGTCCCCCCACACATGTGTATGTTACAAATTACAAGGTCACCACACTTGTGCGTTTACAAGTGATCAAGGGTACCCACACTGTGAATGCTTACAAGTGAACAAGGTCCCTCACTTGTGTACTTTTACACAGTGACAAGGTCCCCACACGTTGGTATTTTACAGGATCAAGGGCCACACTTGTGATTGTTCACAAGATCAAGGACCACACTAATGAGTAGTTACACGGATCAAGGTCCCACACTTGTGTATGGAGTACAAGTGATCAAGGTCCACTACACTTGTGTATGTTACACAATGATCAAGGGCCCACACTTGTGTATGTTGCACAGTCTGATCAAGGCTCGCAACACTTGTGTATGTTACAAGTGATTCCAAGGCCCACACTTGTTAGGTTACCAAGTGATCAAGGGCCCAACACTTGTGTATTTACAAGATGATCAGGCCCCATCACTTGTGTAAGGTTACAGGGGATCAAGGTCCCACACTTGAGTATGTTACAGGGGATCAAGGTCCGCACACTAATGTGTATGTTTGCAAGTGATCAAGGAGCCCACACCTTGTGTATGTATGAACAGTGATCAAGGTCCCACACTTGTGTATGTTACAAGTGATCAAGGTCCCACACTTGTGTATGTTACAAGTGATCAAGGTCCCACACTTGTGTATGTTACAAGTGATCAAGTCCACACTTGTGTATGTTACAAGTGATCAAGGGCCCACACTTGTATATCGTTGCCAAGGTGGAAGCAAGGGCCCAACTTGTTATGTTTACAGAGGGGACCAAGGTCCCACCACTTGTGTTATGTTACAAGGTGACTAAGGTCCGCAACACTTGTGTATGTTACAAGTGATCAAGGTCCCACACTTGTGTATGTTACAAGTGATCAAGGGCCCACACTTGTGTATGTTACAAGTGATCAAGGTCCCACACTTGTGTATGTTACAAGTGATCAAGGTCCCACACTTGTGTATGTTACAAGTGATCAAGGTCCCCCAGCTTGTGTAACTGTTACCAAATTATCAAGGTCCCACACTTGTGTATGTTACCAAGTTGATCAAGGTCAATCCACACTGTGTTTGTAATCAAGTGATCAAGGTCCCAAACTTTGTATCTGTTACAGGGGATCAAGGTCTCTCACATTAGTGTATCGTTAGAAGTGGATTAAGGTCCACACTTGTGTAGTTGGCTAGGTGATTCAGGGGTCCCACACATGTGTATGGTTACACAGTGATCAAGGTCCGCAACATTGTGTATGTTACGAAGTGACATCAAGGTCACCACAACATGGTGTATTATACAAGTGATCAAAGGCAGGTGGATCACGGTCCCACTACTTTGTATGTTACTGGGGATCAAAGTCCCACACTTTGTAAAGTTCAGGTGATCAGGTCGCCAACACTTGTGTAGGTTTGCAGGTGATCAATGTCCCCATACTGTGTAGTTACAGGGAGTCAAGGTCCCACCACCTTGTGCATGTTACCCGTGATCAAGGTCCCACACTTGTGTATGTATAGCAAGTGATCAAGAGTCTCACTACTGTGTAAGTTACAAGTGATGAAGTTCCCACACTTGTTAGAGTACAGGATCAAGGTCCCTACACATGTGTACGTTACAAGTAGATCAAGGTCCCACACTTATGATGTCTTAAGCAAGTAGTCAAGTACCACACTTGTGAGTATGTTGCAGGTGATCAAGGGCCCACACTTGGTATTAGTTACAAGTGATCAAGGTCCCACACTATTGTG